GACGGCTGCCGTCTATTGGCATGGAGCCCTACAGAAGCTGTCTAAATTCATTTTGGCATCCTATAACATACAAACACATATGGTTTTGATCGGTTTTTTTTTTTTTCTTACTAGGATCAGGTTAGGAATCCTAAGGGATGCAAAGCACTGTGGAATTAATTCTTCTTGTCTGGCAGGTGATGATTAAGTACTTACAGATGAAAGAAAACAGAAGTAAAAGCTCTTCCCCTGAATAATGATAGATATCACACTGAGAAATTTAACATCAATTATTTTTATTATTATTACTGAAATTATATAAACATTTATTGGCTGAAAATATCTTTGATCTCACAGATATTTTATACTATTCACCTCTTCATTGTTCATATTGACACTCAGATGTTTTACAGTTCCTCTGTAAAGTTCTTTTTTTTTTAATTTCTAATGGAACAGTGAACAAGCAGCCCTCAGGAATAGGAGAGTTAGGATTGTTCAGGCACTCAGGCCATCTGCATCCTGTAGGTAGTCTACCTACCTACCAGTTCTTTTTGGTCTCTGTGTCTCCTTTTCCTGATGCAGGAGAGAAGGACTCTAATTGACTCATTCCAACATTCACATGCAGTCCCAGAAGATGAGTTCACAAGGCCCATTGCCTACCACTGAGAACTCTGGCAAAATAAGCCAGGTTGAGAAGATGAGGTCCCTAATCTGGCTTCCATACTCACTAACTCCTTAGTGTATGGGACATATTGCATCTTTATATAACCGTATTTATTTTACAGTAGAGTATAATTTTAAAAACAAGGTATGATGGCATGCTTTATTGTTGTTTTATTTATATTAGAATTAAATTATTTCAGAATATATTTGTGCATGAGCTCTGGTGGGGGGCTATAGGGGGAGCAGATGGGGAGGGGGTATAAAAATGATTCAGATGTTTTGTATGAAATGCACAAAAATTCAATAACAAATACAACATTAAAAAGAATCTGTGTATGTCCAATTTTTATGCATTTTTTATTCTTTGATAATTTCATTTGTACATATAATGTGTTTTGATCAAATCCTTCCCCCACTCCATCCACTTCAATTCTTCATTTATCTCCACCCCGCAGTCTTTCCCCTCCCAACTTCATGTGCTCTATTTGTTATTTTTATTAAATTTTTTGTGTATTTCATACATAACATCTCCAACAATCATAATGATCTTTATACCCCCGTCCCCACTGGCACCCTCCCTTACCCTCCCCCGACACTGGAGCCCATATAATCTGTCATCCCTGTTAAGGCCCACTGTGTTGTCAGTGTCCCCAGTTGTTCCCCAGTGCAAGTCCATCCACTGAGGTCTAGTCAGCCTATCTAGAGTCCCTTGTTTTAGGAAGATCAGCTCTTCTTCACCTAGCAGCAATCAGTTGTCAATATTTCTTCAGATAAGATTGGGGTCTGCTGCTCTTTTTCCCATTTCTATGCTTGGTTTTTGTCTGCCTGGGTTTGCATGGGACTTGTGCTCTGTTTTTAAACCCACCAAATCCACTTAGTGCTGCCAGTATGCATGGGTATAGGGCCATCTACTGGATATTGGGTAGCCTCTTCAACAGCCACATCATTAATAACCGACTCTCCCTCCCCCAGCAGCCAGTAGTTGCCAGGAGCTCCTCAGGAAGGTGTGACAATTCATGAACCCCTCCCCAGTCCATGCTGGGATTTTTGTCTGCCTTGATCTTGTGTAGGCCCTGCACGTGCATTCACAGCCATTGTAAAGTTCATATGTGCAACAATCTTGTCTTGGCCAGCAAATACAGCTTCACTACAGATGTCTATCACCTCTGGCTCTTAAATCCTTCGTCTCCTTCTTCCACAATAAGCACTGAGCCTTGGGGTAATGGGTGTGATATAAATGTCCCATTTAGAGCTGAGCACTCCACGGTCTCTTGTTCTCTGTACATGGGCCTGTATTAATTGCCATCTACTACAGAAGGAAGATTCTCATACAAGGGTTGAGAGATGCAGTAATCGCTGTGGATTATTTCGGTGTGTGTGTGTGTGTGTGTGTGTGTGTGTGTGTGTGTGTGTGTTCTGTGGATACTCTTATGGAGGAAGGTGTGGATGCCCATTTAAATGTATGCATGTGGAGGCCAGAGGTCAACCTCAGGGGTTCCTTAGGATCATTGATTTTTAATGGAAGTTTGGTGAATTTCATACAATCTATTTTGATCATATTTAGATCTCCTATCCCATCTTCACACCCCCATACTATCCCCCACAACCAATTTCATATATATATGAAACTTTAATTCTTCATCCATCTCCTCCTCCATAAACAGACTTTTCCTTCACTACTCATGTGCTCTGTTTTTTCTAAAATTCTTTTTTGTGTATTTCATATAGAACATCTCAAACATTCTTAATTATCTTTATAACGCCCATCCCCACTGGCAACCTCCCATAGGCCCCACTGGCACCTTCCCATAACCCCCTGACTGGAGCCCATATACTCTGTCATCCCTGTTAATGCCCACTATGTTGTCAGTGTCCCCAGTTGTTCCCCAGTACAAGTCCATCCACTGAGGTCTAGTCAGCCTATCTGGCGCATATATATATATATTTCAAACTTGTATCCCCAAATGCCCTTCAGTGCGGGTCATACACTGGAGCCTGGTCAACCTACCAAAAGTCTCATCCTTAAGTGAAACTGACTCTCCCTCTCCCAGCAGCCGTCAACAGCCAGTGGTTCCTTAGAGGTCATTGCAGAATAGGAGACAAAAAGACTGTAAGGGCCAGAGGTGGTGGATGACCAAAGGGGCACAGAGTTTTCCAGATAGCTGTGCAGTTACTCATGTGAGCTCACAACAATGGTGACAGCATGCAAAAGCCCCATATAAGCTCAAGCCAGACAAAATCCCATCATGGGCTTAGAGAAGTGGGTAGGAATCTCCAGCCATACTTGAGGAGCCTTACTTTTTGAGGCAGAGTCTCTCACTGGCCTTGAACTCTTTGAGTAGGCTAGGTTGCCTGGCCAGCAAGTCCTAACAATCCACCAGTCTCCACCTCCCCATTTCAGGGATTACAAGTGTGTGCCACCAACCTGGCTTTTTTACATGGAGCTTGGTCTAGAACTCAGGTCCTCATGCTTATACGTTAAGCACTTTGCCAACCAAGCTGTCTTCACATACATTGCATTTCTTATCTGTTTGTTGTTTCTTATTTCCTGTGACCAAGGAGTGAATACTAGAGTGATTTCTTTCTCTTTGTGCTGCTTTCTGCGTATTTGTCCCCTATCTGCTATCCCTTAGAGATGGACACCCCGTGAGCTTCAACACATCACCCGCACACATTCTGCTGCAGAAAACAAAACATTGTTGTTCCCCATTTCCTTAAAGGAGAGTAGCAGAATTGACAGAATCCCTTTGTGAAATTAAGCTAGAATGTCACACCTTGGTCCTAGTTTTTCTGATATTGAACTTAACCTAATGATGCCTAATGGATCCTCCCCACACCCACCATCAGTACATAATCCTTTCTCATACCCACTGAAACCTCATTTCATTACATACTGTTGCACTGCCTACTTACAGTTATTAGGCACTCTGATAGCTGCAACAACTGAGCTCTTGTTGGAGCAGTATGCTGTTCACCTGTTTCAGAATTACCATTACCTCAATGTCCTTCTTCCTGGATATGTAGATCTAGCCTTCCTTTCCAGCTCCATTCATGTCTCTCCTCCCCAGTGTACTCCTTCTTAAGGGACTCACTCACCTGCTAGGAACCAATAGATCACCCAGGGTGAATGGGCTAAACCTCAGCCCCATTACTGAAAGAAATACTATTTGCAGTGCATTCTTTACGGGAACAGAATTCACGCTACTCTTTTGTCCAATACGTCACAGAAGTAGATAACTCATTACAACCTAAAGTAGAAAAAGTCAGTTCTTCTCCCACAAAATGGCAACTGATTTTTACTTATGAGTCAAAAGGAACAAAGAAAGAAGGAAGAAAATGTTATAAAGCATAATATGATTTTTCCTCAAGGGTTTGAGTCATTTGAGTTTGGGCTACTTGGAGGAAATTAAATAACTCATTGTATTCCATTGTTCCGCTCGAGCTGTGAAGTGCTCCCCGTTGTGAGCAGTATTTCCCAATTGTTGCCTTTCAGAAACACTTATCTGCTCTGGGTCCTGGGCATTGGACTCACTGAGCTGTGCAACATGGGAAGCAATATTGGCTGCATTTCTTTTTATAAATAAACAGCCTCGCCTGTTATTTCTCTTCCATGATGCTTTACCTGAGAAATAAACACATTTCATGAATTGGTAGAATATTTAGAAATCCCCTCCCCATAAACAAAGACAGACCTATTGGCAACTGATTGCTGCTGGGTGAGGGAGAGTAGATCCTCTTTAAGGGAATGACTCTAATCAAGCTGACTAGACTCCACTGGATGAACTTGCACCAAGAGACATCTGGGTACGAATGTTTGACCGGATAGGACTCAACATATATGACAGAATGCATGAAATTCAGTCAGTGGGTACAGTGGGTATGGAGTTGTGGATGGAGGAGGCAGTCTAAAGTTGTTAAAGATCTATTATATAAAATGCACAAAAACGCAATAAAAATATTTTTAAAAAGAAACATTTCAAGCAGCAAAGAAGGCAAAGGGAAATCACAGGAGTGAATCAATTTTAAGTACAGTAAAAGGTCTAGAGACTGGTTGAGTTGATTCTTCCCTCACCAAATTTGATTCTAAACCTCTGTTGCTCAGCCATAGGGCTCAAATGGCCCAGTAGAAACTGCCTGAGAATCTAGCAATTGGATAGTTGTTGCACTCAGGAAACAATTGATTTGGGTTTTCTCTGTGGTCTGAAGCCCTCTTCTGAGCTGTTTGATTTACTCTGCCCTGAAAGCCCAAAGAACATTTCGCCAACGCATCACACACATTGTCTCTCAAAAGAAAACTGTCACTGTTTGAGCCTGTGCTCTGTGCACTTCGTAAACATGTTTGTTTTCCTCTCTTACAGAAGCTGCAAAGAATCGATCCTGCTCACTGTCATTCAGCCCTATCCCGTAAGTGTTCTGTGAGTAAAAGTGCCACTCAATGTTCTTGGGCTTCTTGTTTCATCCACCCACTCCAGAGAAGCCACAAGAATGAATAACAGCAAAGAAAAATGACATGTGTTCACAATAGGAACTTACAAATCATCATTCCTATTTTGTTCTCTAGAGCAAAAATTGGAGAAAAACTAAAGTACTGTTCTCCCTAAATATCTTGAAAGACAATCAGCTATGCAGTCTTGTGAGAGTTTTACATCTGGAAATGATACCAACCCCAAGACTTTCTTGTTTGCAGGCTTCGGAATCACAAGTCCCATGGGAATATCTAATTACAGGAGGTTGATGTGAACATTTTATTCTTATCCCCATCGAATTAATTTGGTATAGAATTGGGTAATTCAGTCTACTTCAAAGGAGGGATGAAAGGGATGTGATCATTAGAATTTGATTTTACACACCTTGGTTAGGAGGCAGAAACTGATTAAAATCATACTGCCTTCAATTCTTAAGATTTTTTTTTTTTTGGTTGAGATAGGATGTCATATGTTCCATGGCCTAAACTTGCCATGTAGCCAAGGATGACCTCTAGTGCTGGAATTACAGACACGCATCATCACACCCAGTTTACGTAGTAGTGGGGATTGAGCCAGGCCCTGCTCATGCTAAGCAAGTACTCTAAAACTGACCTTCCAGTTCTTGTAATTAAAAAATAAAACTGTTTAATTATGGTACAATCTGCATGCTGTGCATTTCATCCATTTTATGGGTATAAGTCAAAGTATTTGTAAAACTTACTGAAGTAGGCAACCAGTTTCTGAATGTTCCCATCACTCAACCCCACCACAATCCCTTGTTCTCATAATTAATCCCTGTTCCCACCTTCTACTCCTTTCTACTTACATAGACTTACTGTTACTTGTAAATGTCATATGTTGTCAGTTCAACTGGAAAATACCAAGGAAAATTTCTTTACGTGTTTCTTGCTGCACCATTACTGTACATACCTTGTTGAACCTTTACATAGAAAGACAGAGAATCTAACCTGCTTAGCCTCTATATTTTCTTCAGAATAGAGATGTAGGACAATTATACATAAGATTACAGTTCATACTATTGACCAATATCCATCATTTGACTGAGCTCTTCCTTTCCCCCGGGTCCAGAATTTTTCTCAGTGCTGTAGGTCAGACATTTGGGGCAAGATAAAATGTATATCCAGAGTTCCAATGCAACAGAAATAACCAGCAAAGCAAATGATGCCCTTCACAATGTAACTATGTATATTACAAGCTCAGTAAAATATTGAATGTTTTTGCATGTACACACATACACACACACACACACGCAAACACTTGAATTTCATGCCTCCTAGATGTAAAAGAAACAAGATTTGAAATTTTATCCCCAGTCATACATACCCAGTCAACAGGTAACTCTCATAATTTCTCAAAACTTGTACTTCCTCATCTGTATGAAGATGGGGAGATTGCAGTATGTCCAAGGACTGTCTTGCTTTACCACCTCATGATTATGTGATTGCTGCCATATGCTTCAATATAAAGTACAGCTGAACTGTTTTAGAAGGTTTCAGTTTAATCAGATGGTTATTCTCATTTACTTCCAATCTAGCAACACTTCTTAATTTTTTGCTGCTGACAAATTCATTTTGGTAAAGGCACTATAAATGCCTGTAACAAGCAAGTGGAATTTCAAGTTTGCATTACTTTTACTGAAATTTCTCTCGTTACTTTGCAATCTCTTATAAACACACGGTCAGAAACTTTTTACTCCCAAATGGATTGTTTTTGCAATGTACTGTGTTATTTTATCCCATCTAGAATGGTCAGAGAAAAAGAGGTATTTGGCATTCAAATTTAAAGTGTGTCTTATGGCTTTGATTGCTGTTTTGTCTGGTTGAGTCTATATGTCTTGTTGTGTAAAGAAATGTTCCTCAGTGGTTGCTTGTGACAGTGAAAGACTATATTTGGCTACACTATTCAGGAATGTTGCATGCTCTTGTGGCCAATCGCCACTCTGCTGCCGACCTCTACCCCTGGCCAATCACTGCAGGTGATTTTTTTTGAAGTTCCCTGAGCTTCTGATCATGTACTTCACTCCTCCCACCTCCTCTGCCTAAACAAATTCCACTTTTCAAACCTCAGTCCATATTCTAAATGTTCCCTTCTTTGACTCTGCCTATATTTAAGCTGGAGAGTTTTCTGTTGTGCATTGTCCTGTGTATTATAGGATACTAGGAAACATCCCTCACGTCTGCTCACCAAATGTAAATTGCGTCTTTCTCCAACTTGTACCAAAAGAAAGAGTCTCTAGATATTGCCAAGTGTCCCTTTGGAGCAAAACTGCCCCCATTTGAGGGATACTGTCCTAACTTCAAGATGGCCCTCACTGTTCCAAAGTGGCTTTTTCCTCCTCTGAATTGTAGATAAGGATACTCTGAAAATACTGCAATAAATACATTGTATATATAGAGAAAAGCAGATGAGAGACTGTAATTTTTCACTTATATTTTTTATGTTGGGATTTTCCTGGCAACCAATTGCTTCTTTAAAACATATTAAATCTGGGTACAGTAGTTCATGCCTGTAATTTGAGCACTTAGGAATCTGAAGCAAGGGGATTGATCCAAGTCTGAAGATAGCTTGGTCTATATTCTTGAGTTCCAGGTCAGCCTAGGCTACATTAGTGAGTTCCTGACCAGCCTGGGCTATAAATTAAGATTCTGTCTCCAAACAAAACCAAAAAAATGGGTTTCATTTATTTCCTCAACATCCTTTCATCAACCAAGATTGACATAAAAATACAGATAACCCAGGCAAACAAGAAATCTGTAGATTCTGCTTCTGTAAAAGAAAAATCCATAACTGCTTCAATTACAGCATGTGGGTTTCTTTTGTAACATGCTGGCAAGTAGTTTTTACAATGCTTACATTGCTTCTCAATAGCGATGAGACAGCCAGTGTTTGCACCTTCCTGTCACAATTCATGTGTGCCACTACCCAGATGCAGAACCCATCTTCAAGAAGACTCAGCTCAAGGGGACCTTGGACAAGAATCTTCGTATCTCTGTAATCCTTCCTTTGATAGCATGCAATTCCAAGCACATTGATGCCTCATTTAAAAAATATTATGGGATGCCCCCTCACTCCACCATCTTTACATATTTCCCCTTAGGAATAAAAATGTACAAGTACAGAAAGAAATTAAGAATTAGAAATATATATACCAGCAAACTTATTCTTCAGAGTCAGTTAGTGGAAATCTTTTGGCCTATATCTCTTTCCATCCTTTTTTCTCTGTTTTGTTAGTAGTTACAATGATAAACAATTTCATTCTACTTCTTTCACTTACTATGCCATAAGCGTTTTACATCATCAAATATTTTTATTTATTTTATTTTTAATTATATGCGCGTACATGAGCTTGTGTGTGCGCATGCTCCTCTCTCTCTCTCTCTCTCTCTCTCTCTCTCTCTCTCTCTCTTTCTCTTTGTGTGTGTGTATACACATTAGCACTAGAATCCTTGGAGGAGAGAGATGTCAATCGCCTGGAGCTTGAATTACAGGTTATTGGTGGCTGCCTGATGTGAGTGCTGGGAATTGAATCCAAGGTCCACTGGAAGAGCAATACGTGCTCTTAACTACTGAGCCATTTCTATAACCCCATCAAAGATTTTTTATGAAAATATTTTGAGTCATTGTGCAATATTCCCTTGAACTAAGATGAATTTAAACCCCTTGTCATTGGACCCTTCATTCTATCATTAATGTTTCGATACTGTAAATAATTCTTGATAGAACATCTTTGTCCGTGAATTTCTGTCTTAATAACATTTCTCCAGAATAGAAGTTTAGAAGGGGAATTTCTGGATTACATAGATTTTTTTCTGTTCTGCCAAATCTTTATTCCATGTACTTTTATGGCACATTATTCATTACCTAACCCCTTCCTTATTTCTTTTGACTCTGCCTTCCACTGTTCCCAAGCTTAGAACTTTCAAATCTTACTAGCCATCTTATCTGGGACAGAGAGTATTCATCTGTACAACTTTTCTTCATACAAGCACAGGTCAACTGGTCTTGTGTTATGTCACTCTGTCGATCCTGGTGAGCTTAAACTAACATTCCCTTAGGTTTTTTTCGTAGCTAAAAACAGGAAGAAACTGCTCACCAGCCTTCTATTTTCTAACTACCTTTCAGTATGTTCCATACACCTAGGGGAGACTACACCTGTGTCTTGAAAATCCTGGTGTAACAGGCTCTTGATACAGCAATTGTTGTTAAGCCATATCTTCCTAACATGTGTCATGCTAAACATGCCAGCCTAACATTTAATATGGAGTGCCAAGTGTTGCTTACCTGGGAGATCTTTCTGTGACATAGTCATGGAACAGGCTAGAGGAACTGGAGTATTCTTTTTCTGCTGGAGGGCAGGGTTTCATGTTCTTTAAGGTAATGGTCAGTTGCAATTACACAAGAGAACATAAGAGAGGCACAGAAAAAAATCATTGTTAGAGTCACAGGTTTTAAAGAGCCTGTATTAGTTACTTTTCTGTTGCTGTGATAAGAACACTGACCAAAGTAACTTATAGAAGGAAGAGTTTATTTACTTTATGGTTCCAGAGGGATTAGAGTCCCTTGCGAGAGGTGTGGTGTCAGAAGGTGGCCAGAGCAGAAAGCAGAGCTCTCACAGCTTCAAGCAGGCAAAGGAAACAGTGAGTGACTGGAAATCTGGTAATGTTTAAGAACTCTCAAGGCCTGCCCCCAGTGACATGCATCCTCCAGCATGGCCACACCTCCTAAAGGTTCCATGACCCTTCCAAACAGTGCCACCAACTAGGGACCTGGTGTTCAAATACTTGGAGCCTATGGGGAACACTCTCTTTGAAACCACCACAGAGACCAAGTCACTGTATAACAAGAGGAGGGACACATTGCAGGGAGCACTGAGGGGATAGTCTCTACCAAGGAGGCAAGGAACAGAGAAATCACAAA